GGGGGGGCCCCCGGGGGGGGCCCCCCCCCCCCCCCCCCCCCCACGACGGGTGCCACGTCTCCGGAGGGTGTCCCCAGCACACGCCCCCGGATGCGTTTCTCAGCCCTGCGGGTAGCGGGACGTCCCCAACTTGTCCCCTAACGGACCCGAACGTCCTCAAATTGCGTCCCCGATCCCCACCTTAATGGTTTTCTCATCCCTGGGACCACCGGGACATCCTTGGGGTGTCCCTGAGGCCCCCGCCTTAACTCTGTCCCCCTTTTTCCCTTCCAGGTGCTGGCCCCCTCCTGGTATCGCTGGCCGCCTCCTGCGGCACCCCCGAGTGCCTCCACAGCGCCGCCCGTGCCCTCCGCATTTTGGGGGCCGCCCCGGCCCCCCGCCGGGCCCTGGGTCGAGCCGGAGCCGTCCGAGCTTTGGCTTCCCGCTTGGCATCCCTCTCTCCGGCTGATCCCGCCTGCCCAGCCGTCGCCCGAGCTCTACGGGGTCTCACCGACAGCCCCGGCCCTTCGGCCGACGACGTGGCCCCCGCTTTGCCCGCCTTGGCCGCCTTGGCCGCTCACGCCAAGCGGGACCACCGCCAACCCGCCCTGGGAGCCATCGCCAACGCTTGCGCCCGCGCTCCTCTCCGACCCGCCTTGGGGGCCGCCGGGGCGGTGGAAGCGGTGACGGAAGAGGTGAGGAGAGCGTTGGCGTCTCCCAACGTCGCCGGTGCCACCGTAGCCGTCCGGGCGCTCTGCCTGTTGTGCCGGGAAGCCGTCAACCGAGCGCGGGTACGAGCGGCCGGCGGGTTGGGGTTGCTCCTGCGCCTCCTGGCCGAACCCCGCGCCCGGCCGTGGCGTCCCCGCGTCCTTCTGGCTTTGGCCGCCTTCGCCTACGACCAGGAGGCGTTGGCGGCTCTGGAAGCTCGAGGCCTCGTCCCGCTCCTTGCCGACGTCCTGCGAGCCCGGGCCGATGAGGAGGAGGACGAAGAGGAGGAGGACGAAGAGGAGGAAGACGAAGAGGAGGAGGATGAAGCCG